TGCCTTTTTCTTAATAAAATAACATCTGAAGAGGAATATGTTTTGGCCCAATGTGTGTGTGTGTGTCTGTGCGTGCGTGCGTGCGTGTGTGTGCTGATTGAATAATTGTTACGTCTGAGTACTCTCCTCCATCACTCTTCACAGCAGCTAATTAGCATATTTGTTTCTGAATCCTGTTCAAGCAGCAGAAATCATCCAATCAACCAAACTCACTGAAGACTCGCTGATGTTTCTAAACTCTTTTTTCAGCTAATTTGAAACTCTGAAGCTGATGATTTGCTGTTTTGATATATATTTGATATTTCAACTCGCGAGCCAAATATAAATATACCACGGGCCAAATTTGACCCGAGGGCCTGAGTTTGACAACCATGATGGTGAACCAACTTTGTCTTCAGATCATGTGAGAGCTGTTTTGAGACCCCCATGTTGCTTCAGAAAATATTAAAAGAGGAGGGAAACTTACAATTGGATCCCTTAATGACAAACTAGGCATTTTGGCTTGCTTTTAGCACCCCCTAGTTTTAACACCTCATTCTAACAGCTGAAATGTCTTCCCAGCCTTTCTTAGTGTCTACAGGAGTGGTCCGTTGCTAAATTAAACAAACCAGCTGTGTTCATGATGTAAAACATGCAGGAAACGTGCTGGAATCAGACTGCAGCACCAGGTATGTCAGCTCTAGCATACTGGACCGGCAACTCTGAAGTTGCAAGTGGAATCTTCTGGTCACATGGGGTGATAGGGGCTGGGCGGCCATTCATTAATCCTGTAAAGGGTTGTTTTAACACATACTGGTTAAAAAAACTATCCAAAGGCAAAGGCCTAAAAAGAAAATGATCCGAAGGAAAACTCACAATCGTGACAGAGACGTTATCGCTGACTGCAGAGGAGAAAAGCTCTACTGTAATTACTTTAAAGACAAAGACAATGAAGCAACAGCAGCAGCCCCTCTGAGCTGCTCACCTCTGAATTATTCATGTCAACAGTGTTTTACTGCAGCTGGAATCCTTAAAGTGCTGAAGGAATCTGACAAGTTTGAGCCAGATTGCACCGATAACTGCCTATCACACTGAAACACATGATCACAGAGCTCTTCCTGTACCACACCACTCACAGCTGATCAAACACTGGTGGGGGTGCCAGCTGTGGTCTCACACTGAACACTTCTGCTGCTCCTATCGTACACTGTGCTCAGGCAATCACCTGACTAAATCAGGGGTGGGGAACCCTGGTCCTCAAGGGCCGGTATACTGCATGTTTCAGTGGTTTCCCTGCTCTGACACTCCTGATTCAGGGTTGTTTCATCTATTCAGCAACTCACTGGGCTCTGCAGACGCCTGCTAATCACCTGTTGACTAAAATCAAGCAGGGTAAAGAAGGGAAACCACTAAAACATGCAAGACAGTGGCCCTCGGCGGACCAGAACTCCCTGCCCCTGGACTAAACGATGAGGAGAGATGATCTGGCTTCAGCTTCGGCTCTCTGGAGCTCTTGTTTTAGAGGATTGTGTGGCCCAGCGTATGTTAGGCCCCATTCGTATGGAAAGTGGGTGGTCTTTGCAGATCTTTCTGACAGGTTCCACGAGCTGTTTACTGTCTATAGCTGCTCAGTTCTTTGACACATTTGTAGGCTCTGATTTTCACTAGGATGCTGTTTTGTTTGTTACCCTTCAAGTACCTCAGACCCTTTCAGTGTTGGGTATACTTATCAAAGCCTCCTTCATCATTTCTTCCCAGATGTCTTACATCCTAACACCCCCCACCAGCACCCCAGCTATAGTAGTCTTTTCTGTCTGATAAGAAAACAAAACCAAACAAGCATTTATATTTTTTCACTATATTTAAAAAGGACAACTTTATGAGCTATTTTGCAGAATTTGGTTTCCATCTTGCTGAGCAGATTTATTCCTTCTTTTTCTGACTGTGACTAGAAACTGGTGTAAAGCAGCCCTGCAGGGAAATGTAAGACAGAAATAACACTTTCTGCTGTGAAGCCTGATCACATAATATGCCCTCACACTCCAGGGTTGAACCATTGTTTGGATATTAGAAATAAAAAAAGCCCCATCATCTGTGCCTCTCTCCTGTCTCTGACTCTTAGTGTTTTTGTGTGTTTGCTGAAAATGAAAAATGTAATTTTAGCTTACATCTGAAATGGCTTGATTAGTTCAGAATGTAAGCCCACCAGAATTTATAAAAAGACAATTGGTTTAATATTACTCTTAAATGGTATCTTCTTTGTTTTGGTCTGATTCAGTGAAGAAGTTGGCTGACCCAGTAATGGACTGGCTCCCCAATCAGCTATTAGACCAACAGATTAATCAACTATCAATCAATCAATCAATCAATCAATCAAAGCTTTATTTATACAGCGCCTTCCGCGACCCTGTCGGGAAGCCCAAGGTGCTGAACACGGTATATGAGAAATGTGAAACATGATGAATAAATCGAAAATAAAAGCAATTCAAACAGTGCAAAAAAAGGTACAACATTAAAGTAGAAGACAAATGTGTAAAACAAGGGATAAAGAGACCAATGAAAATAGGGAAATAAAATCAACATAAATGAGGGCCAACCTCAAACACGTTCAGGGAACGCCAAGCAGAGGAGGTGGGTTTTTAGGCGACTCTTAAAGACTGGCAGAGATGGGGGCAGCCTAACTGAGGGTGGCAACTGGTTCCATAGTGACGGTGCTAGGACTGAGAAAGCCCGGCCCCCACAAGTACGACACCTGGAGCGAGGGACTGCGAGCAGGCCTTGGTCAGAGGAGCGCAGAGCGCGTGATGGGGAATGTCTGTTCAGGGGTGTGGCTTGATAGGGGGACCACTACCCTGGAAGAAATTGTAAACAAAGACGAGGAGTTTAAAGTGTGAACGATAACAGACCGGAAGCCAGTGCAGGGAGGCCAGAACTGGACTGACGTGGTCCCATTTCCTGGTCCCAGTCAGGAACCTGGATGCGCTGTTCTGCACAACCTGTAGGCGACGCAGTGCTGACTGACACAACCCTGCATAGAGAGAGTTGCAGTATCAAGCCTAGAAATTACAAAAGCATGGAGTACCCGCTCCGGGTGGGCTCTCGACAGCACAGGCTTGATTTTTTTGCAAGGCGTCTCAGATGAAAGAAACTGGACCGGATCCGGAACGCAAAGACTTCTGGATTTCTGAAGTACGGCTACCATGGAGAAGATTTCCTTAGACTTATTCTGGAGACAAAGTCGTGGAGGTCTCTGACACCGAAGGCTGACTTCATCAAACGGAGTTGGGACGCTGACACCACCACGGTCCTGGAAACACGTACGGTCCTGGTGACTCGTTCAACAGGAAATAAGTACTCTGTAACTTGTGATTAATTACGACTCGTTATTAATCACGAGTTACAGAGTTATCTTCCTAATCGTGATTCCCGATTAAGAAGATAACTCTATAACTCATGTGATTAATCACGATTAAAACATTTGGTAGATTAACAGCCCTATTTTCAGAGATTTGAGACTAGTGTGAACCAAATCCTAATTCATGAGTCATTTTGTGTGTTTTCTAAATGTCATCTGCCACTATCCTGGGTCAGGATGTGTTGTGTGTTTTAATCATCGACATATATACTGGATAATTCATTTCCATAGGCTCCAATAACACATTTTTGAGGCTAAATGGGAGGTGGCCACCACCGCCATTTTGACCGTGTCACAGGTTCCGTCAAGCCCAGACAATTCCACAAAAGGGAAGAGAGGTGGAGCTGAGGGTGGGGCTGTAAGGCTGGGATCAACTGATGACACCTGGTCGAACTAGCTACAAGCTAACCTGAAGCTAACCCAAAGCTAATGCGGAGGTGGGAGCTAAGCTAACAGAGGTAGCAACCTAGCTACAGCCGGAGTTAACTGTGCACAACACCAGAGCTTCTGAGTCAGAGATACGCCGGGCTGACCGCTGGGTAAAACCGGGTGGAACACAGAGGTCTCCCGAAAGCTAGTGAAAGCCGGCAGCCCGCGCAGCAGACAGAAGCCGCGATCAGACAGAGATGGACCGGGCTGCGGGGAGAAACAACCGGCATTCCGGGTGGAAAACATCGGTCTCCCGAGAGCTCCACAAGCCGATAGTCGGAACCCAGCTCCACCAACATGTTATATTTCAACCCATTTTCTAAAGCGCAGCATTGTGTTAAATGCACTGGGTTTTACCCTATTACATTTAAATTTCATGGTTAAACAGTGCATGTTAAAATCTAAGCTCAGCTCTGCAGTGACATAAAATACATAAATATAATTTTACTTACCGAAAAAATGAAGTGGAGACTCCTTGGACGCTCTATTAGTGCAATTAATGCCACAGCAAGTCATTTTGTCCAACAATTGCACAAATAATATCCAAAGAAGAATACACAAACACAGAGACTCAAAATCCCAGAACAGTTTCCAAGCCAGACCGATGCTCTACTGAGGCCTTTCCACGGAGCTAGCTCTGTGGTCACGTGGGTCGGATGCTCATTAATTATACAGAATTTTAGGCTTTTAATACACTTAAACAGAAGAGTGAGAAAAAAATTCACCCCCCTCAGAGTTGTCATGAGTGTAAACTAGATCATTTAAACCAAAAACATGTTTTGGTACCAGGCTGTAAACATGTTTATTTCTGCTGTGAAATTGGTATTTTTAACATGGGAGTCAATGAGGATTTGCTCACTTCTGACACCAGCCCCTAGTGGATGAGGGTGGAACTGCAATTTTTGCTACTTCCGGGTTGGCCTCAATTTTTGAGACGCATTGTGGGGGCTTGGTTTTAATGGGTGTTTTTCTGTGGGAGGACAAACAAAATAATAACTTTGAGAGAAATTAAATATTAATATCAATAAAAGGAGTGTTAGCATCCTATTACAATGTTGAATTTGTTTCTTGAAAAAAACATGATTGTATTACTGAATATATATCTTTAAGGAGCTTCAGCTGAATTTTGGTGATGAAGTTGCTGATTCCCTCCTAACGCTGCCTTTGTGTCCTCCAGGTCTCCTGACAGTGCTGGCAAAGACAAACACTCCCCATAAGAGAATGATTCCCATCATTCATCACCCATCATTCCTAGGCGGGAACGCTGCTGCCACTCCATCTGTTGACAACCAATCAGCAGCCACTATCAGAGCCGTGGGGCGAAGCAACAGTGCTTCCGGTTTCATGCTTGGATGAACTTCAAAAACTTCCTCCTGGGGAGAAAAATGACTTCAATTTCCAGGAGATTTGACCCACAAATAACAACGGCCTGATGGATGTACTTGTTTTTTTTTTCTGGCACAAAACTCTGTTTCATTTTACCAACCAAAGATGAACAGAGGCAGCGATGAGGCATTTACAGAGTTTACACAGCGCAATTCTGAAAAAAGCGTATTGTAAAAATGAAACAACAAAAGATAAAAATACTTAAAAATATTAATAAAACAATCTCATTACCAAGAAACCACATTGTTTTGTGTCGTCTCAGTCCCTAGCGCTCAGAGAGATGATCTGAATCATCAGGTGACGCAAACCAGAAGAACATCAGAGGTGGAGGAGGTTCTAAGAGAAACAACAGCAGCTCTCTGTGCACCCACAACTTACTGTTTGTCTCTGGAATTAAAATGACCCCGGGACTTAAGTGTGTTTCTGTGTAAAGGTTGGGAATAATCAAAATTACAAAAAAATCATAAAAGCAAACAAGCTTCCAGATCAATGATGAAAAGCTGCCAATTTTACCTCCTGAGACCCACATCCTCTCACTCAGAGAGACAATCCTTCTCTGTGTTTTAAATTTAATGATTTTTTAATATAAAAAATAAACAGTTTTGAATGAATGTTTAAAATGACATTTGTGCATGTTTTGTAGATCCTGCTAATCCTAGATATTTAAGCTCAGGAGTTTTTTTATGATTTATATTGTCATGGATTTTTTTCAATATGTTTATCAATAAACCCATTTCCTGGAGTCGAAGAGAAAAGGGACAAGAAGCAATGAGGCAGACATACAACCAAATCATGATTTAGTGGCAGGTGCACAGGGCAAATGCCCCGAACAGCTGGTCACAGAGTTTATTTAAGCAGAGAGATAAGAGAGGAATGGGAGTGGATCATGTGTGGGAGAGAGTGTGTGTGTGCATATGGGAGGACAAGAGTGTGTGTGTGTGTGTGTGTGTGTGTGTGTGTGTGTGTGTGTGTGTGTGTGTGAATGCTTTCAGGATATTCAGTTAATAGATCTGTTAATAGGACTAAGGTAATGAAATATAACATTTCCATTATATATATATTTATATATATTACAAAATAACAGGAAATGAAGGTTGTGTAAAAGTTTATTGTATTGCATGTGAGTCAGTGACTGGCCATTTTGTAGTGTAGGGTTTGGGAAAATGAGTGCTTTAAGAGCTCAATATATATATTACCTCTACTTATGACCATTAAGCTGTGATACTCTATCTAAATATAGAATATCAACCCTGTTTGGTCTTTACTGTGTTTATCAGAAGATTCTAGGATTCTTCATTTATTCAGGGATTGTACACACTTTGTTTTGATTCAGAAAAGAGTCAGGTTTATAGAAGTAAGAATTTGTTTTACCAAAAATTAAAACATGACAAGTTAACTAACATGTACTGTGATGGATGGAACTAGATGTGATGTAGGATACCTATGTGTGAATGTGATGTTATCAGAACGTCCGTATCTAGGAGAGCTGAGTTCTGGATGCAAAAGAATTTGGTTTGCGTTAAGCTATGAAGTTGATTATTGTCAAAAGCACATCGGATGCAATCAGTGTGTCTACTTCACCCGTTCTCGGAGACCCTCTTGGTGGATCCGAAGGTCAGAGAGGTCGGATGACCTCTGGCACCGAAGGGCTGTAGAATACCGTGGCACCAACTCTTCAGTCCAGAGATGTCTCGGGTCACGACAGATGGATGGAACCGCACGCCTGGGACTCTTAAGGAGTCTAAACGATATCAGCTTGTTCTGCAGGAACTGTTTCTGTATCAGCTTTGCAGGTGCAAAAAGGTTTTGACGACGTGTCAAAAGCTTTGATGGGTTATAGAGGTCTTTCTTCAGATGGCCGGTCTGAAGCTTTTCTCCAGAACTGCTGAATCACCAGAGTGATCCAGTTTTAATGTTCTCATGTTATAATTTGTGTAGCCAACCAGAGGTTGACAAGTTGAAGAATATTACCAAAACAACTCAGAAACACGCCTTCTTTGATCCGGATGCTCCGATCTGGGGTAAAGGGCTATTTATGTGTCATGAGTTTAACTTAACCTTACTTAGTTCTTGTGTGAGTGCAAATGGTTATGACCTTGACATATTAACATGCTGAAACGTATTTCAATCACTGTAATCATAACATAACATTCATTTCCAACTTCATTCATTGAGCACAGATTAATGAAAGCATTTCATTATATTATAATTATTATAAGTAGCAATAAACAAACATTTATTTAATGATTATCTAGCTTATAAGTTTCAGAAGTTCATATTTAATTTAGGAAGTCATTCTTTGATTTAGCAACTGATCCAAGCTGCGAGTGTTAGGCATGAAGAATCCTGTAGGATGATAAGGATGGACCTTGAGGAGAGAACAATTCGTTGACAATTCGTTATCATGTGTTCAGAGCTGCAGAGAGGCTCTGAGCTCCAGCTGATGGGATGAAGGCAGGCCAATTTAAAGGGAACACATGCAGTCTTGTGTCTCCTTTTTGACCAGATGCTGAATGGTCAAACTGTACCTAAAAACTGACCATTGCTGGACGTTACAGCAGCTTGCAGACATTTACACCATGGTCTGTTTGGATTAACTCAATTATTCTAACGGAAATATGATTTTAGTCGGCATGTGTTTGGTGTGTGAGAAGAGGCTAGGGTAGACAGAGGAAACCCACACATGCATGACGAGAACATCCTGCGGCTGGAATTTGAGCCTCTTGTGCTGTGAGGCATCAGAGCAACCAACAGCTCCGCCGTCCACTTCACACACAGTTTTAAGCTATCGGGTTTGAATCAAACTGCAAAAGTAGTTTCCTCGTGAGTTACTTTCATCAGTGTAAACAAGAAATTAGCATTTCAGTGAGGAAATCAGAATTAGAAATACTTTTTAATCCAGAGGGAAATTGTCTGTAGAAATATTTGATCCAGATAGTAAAGATCAAGCACATAAGGAGCATGACTGATAAATTCAAATGATAATAGGCTAAAAAATCACTAATAACCATGGATGCAATTTTCACTTTAGAAGTGGGGGGGACACGGGGGGGGGGCACGGGGGGGGGGGGGGGGGGGTCTTTACAGTATGCTCTAATGGGAAACAGGCTTCAACACAAACGGTTGTTTTCTGCTTGGTCCTAGAGCTCAACCAGTGTCAATTTAATATTGCGTAATATTGTTTTTGGATGGTAAAAAGTGCAGGGGTCAAAACTTGACTTTGGAAAAAGTGGGGGGGGCATGTCCCCCCTGTCCCCCCCCCCCCCCCCCCCCAAAATTACGTCCATGCTAATAACCATTAATATAAGGAAAAAATACAATTTATCTGTTAGAGTAAATAAACAAAACAATAGACTAAAATAGATAAACATTAAAATACTGTATCAGTAATGTAAGGGTAAATGTGCCTTTGACTGTAGAATCATACAAGCAGTGTCAGAAAGCTTAGTCTCAGTCACAGGTCAAAGGTCAACAGGACACGACCCAAAAGAGTGGCTAAGAGGAAACACCGCAGTGTTCTACCTTGGTATTATCTTCGACCAGGACATGTCATTCAAATCCCAGGTTAAACAGGTTTGTAGGATTTCTTTTTCCACCTTCGGAATATTGCTAAGATTAGAAGCATCCTTTCCAGGAATGATGCTGAAAAACTAGTTCATGCATTTATTACATCAAGACTGGATTACTGTAATTCATTACTCTCAGGAAGTCCACAGAATGTAGTTAAAAGTCTTCAGCTTGTCCAAAATGCTGCAGCTAGAGTTCTGATGAGAATTAAAAAGAGAGATCATATCTCTCCTGTCTTAGCTTCCCTACATTGGCTACCTGTTAAATTCAGAATAGATTTTAAGATCCTTCTTCTCACATATAAAGCTCTTAATAATCAAGCTCCATCATACATCAGTGACCTGGTTGTTCCATACATTCCTAACCGAGCACTTCGCTCTCAGACTGCAGGTTTACTGTCCCGCCTCCAGACAGAGAATTCTGCTGTTGTGTCCTTGGGCAAGACACTTAAACCTTAAGACGGTGGCACAGGAGTTAAGCGCTCGCCCCGTAATTGGAAGGTTGCAGGTTCGAGCCCCGCTCAGTCTGTCGCTGTCGTTGTGTCCTTGGGCAAGACACTTAACCCACGTTGCCTGCTGGTGGTGGTCGGAGGGACCGGTGGCGCCAGTGCTCGGCAGCCTTGCCTCTGTCAGTGCGCCCCAGGGCAGCTGTGGCTACATTGTAGCTCATCCCCACCAGTGTGTGAATGGGTGAATGACTGATTGTGTTGTAAAGTGCCTTGGGGGGGTTCCAGGACTCTAGGAGGCGCTATATCAAATACAGGCCATTTACCATTTACCATTTTAAGCCTGCTGGTGGTGGTCAGAGGGACCGGTGGCCCCTGTGCTCAGCAGCCTCGCCTCTGTCAGTGTGCCCCAAGACAGCTGTGGCTACATCGTAGCTCATCACTATCAGTGTGTGAATGTGTGTGTGAATGGATGAATGATACACTGTAGTGTTAAGCGCTTTGGAGTCATTACTCTGAGAGGCGCCACACAAGCGCGGGTCATTTATCATTTATCATAACAAAATATTAGGTTAGGGGTACCACCATTATTGTCCGGGCATGAAAGCAATGTTTGACTTTAATTGGTTACATTTTATAGAATTGCTCTTTAGTACTTTTGTCAGATCCAAGTTATTTCTGTCATCAGTGTGGGTTTGTCTTTCATTGACCATGGGTTAGGGTTAGGGTACCAACATTTTTGTCCACGTCTGTATAACTACCTTCAGAGAGTCCAGCTCCATTCCCACAGCGCTACTGGCCTTGTGTACCAGTGTGGTGAGTCTGTCTGCATCTGCCCCGGCATGCACCAGTGTAGAGGACGGCACTGGACACAACAAACTCATGGAACATTCTGAGCATTGTCCCACATGATGGACAGCTGGGCAGCTCTGGCCCTTCGTGGAAAGTGCTTGTGTTCTTAGCTCTGTCCAGAATGTTGTCCCAGGTGTGAGTGGTCCTTCAGTCTGTCCACAGAGACCCGCTGGATGGAAACGGATCACTGGTGTCCATGACCTCCTGAAATCAAGAAGCAGCTCCTTGGTCTAATCACATTAGGACACTGATGTCGTTTTATTGTTTCCAAAACCTTTAGAACTAATTATTGGAGCTCAAAATATGTTTGGTAAGCTCAGTGACCTTTGACCTCTGTACACAGGTGAATTCAGTTAGGGGAAAGAGTATTTAAG